GACCACACAGAAGACAGGCGTGAAATGGAAGCAATTCCGTGTTTCGTCTGATGAGTGTGGTGCCGGCCTAATTTAAGTCCCTTTCTCTTTACCACTCTTTTCTTATAAGGTGAGGATGGGAAGGGGAAGATGATTTGACGGTGGAGAAGATGCATAGGAAGGGGAAATATCCTCTGTATGTGCGTCTCCTCCTCCGTCAATTACACTTTTTCTTCCCATCCTTTCCTCATAAAAGAGGGTGGAAACGGAAAGGGATTAAAATTAGGCTTCTGGCACCACACTCATCAGAGGAAACGCGGAATTGCTTCCAATTCACGCCTGTTTTTTGTGTGGTCGTGGTATTACACCAGGTATTATGTCAGTATAGTTAAAACTATGCGTGTTTCGCATATCATCTAGTCACTATACTTAGAGTAGCACTAAGCACAGATGTATAGTGGTTTCATAGCAAAAATTTTAATTTCCAGGCTCGTGTCAACATGGAACACAGGCCATCAAAGAAGCAAGAGACAGACAACTTCTAACTGTCGGTAAGTTTGTAAAAATGTAATTTTAGCTTAAAAACTTTTAGTTATGGTTTCTGTTGTCTTCATTTTACGGTATGAAAGTAAATGTGCATCCAGAGGAAAGATTTGTATTTTTTTATGTATTGAAATAACTCTAAAATTGGGTCCATTTAAAAAAATCTTTTATCATTAAAGAGTGGACGAAGTCGTGATTGAAAGCTAGTCTTACTTAATCTTCTTAAAATTATAAATGCGAAAGTTTAGATGGATGGATGTTTGTTAGATTTTGTAGCCTTAACAGCTAAACGGATTTCGATGAAATTTGGTACAGATGTAGAAGATAATCTGGAAGAACATATAGGTTACTCACTTTTGTTTTTTTTTTAATTACATGCGCAAGGAGTCGCGAGTTAAAGCCAGTTATAATATAAATGCGAATTTAGATGGATGTTTGTTACTTTGTAGCCTAAACTGAAAGGATCTCAATGTTTTTTTTTTATAACATAAGGTGGCAAACGAGCAAGCGGCCACCTGAAACCGCCAAAATGACGAAGCGACCGCTGCCCATAGACATCCACAATTGCAGATGCATTGCCTACCCTTATACGACGGAGGAGGAGACGCACATAAAGAGGATATTTCCCCTTCTTATGCATCTCCTCCATCGTCAAATCCACTTCCTCTTCCCAACCTCTCCTTATAAGAAAAGGGTGGTAAAGGGAAAGGGACTTAAATTAGGCCTCCGGCACCACACTCATCAGACGAAACACGGAATTGCTTCGACTTCACGCCTTTCTTCTGTGTGGTCGTGGTATTACTGGGGGCGTGCCCTGCAGTGCTAACATGTTAAAGCGGGCACTACCACTGTTTGTCATAGATATAGAGGATAATCTAGAATACAAATGATTCTTTTGTTTTTAATTTCACGTGTATAGAGTTGGGATAATTAAGTAAAAGTAATCCATTTTTCTTACAGTAAAAATCAATGGCAATGTCGAGATACCAGTTGTATAAGTTTTGATGGAAAATGCGATGGCATCGTCGATTGTCCCGATGGCAGCGATGAATCGTACCCTCTTTGTAGATCAGAGAAGTAAGTATCTTATTTATGTCTCATCATCCACTTGCCCTTATCCCTTACGGAGGGTCGGCACAGTATGTGATGCTCTTCCATACATCTCTATCAGTCATATCTGAGTCCACTCCTTTCTTAAGCATATCTTCTTTCACACAATCCATCCATACTTTCTTTGGTCGTCCTCTTCCTTTGTAGCCATCCACATTCAATCTCAACACTTTCTGGTTTATGTCCCCATCATTACGTCGCATAACATGTCCATACCACGCTAACCTTTTGCTTCTCAATTTCTCCACCACTGGCGCTACTTTCAAACTTCCTCTAAACACATTCTTAACTTCATCCATTCTTGTCACACCACACATCTTAACATACGCATCTCAGCCACATGCAATCTAATTTCATCCGCAACTTATTTATATCTATACTAATATAATAAAGCGTAAACACACTAATTTATGGCATAGGATGTCAACCACAGAATGTTTTTGAATAATCCTTCTTAATAAAAAGCCCTACACTTACGACACACTATACATTTTCACTATTAAACTTAGAGGAAAAATCTTGTGTGAAAGAGACCATAAACTACAAGCCAACATTAAGGAAGCAGTATTATGGTAACCGTAATTTTGATATTTGCAATTGATAATTACACAAATGAAAACAATGAATTTATGTTTCTATTATTTATAAAAAAACATCAATACAAAGTAACAATTAGTACCTCTTCGGATGTGTACAACGAAACAAACATTTGGGGATAATAAAATGCAGCTAAAATTTTTTTTTTCATTATCAACTTGTCCTTATCCCTACAGAGGGTCGGCACAGTATATTTTTCACACAATCCACACATACTTCGGTCTTCCTCTACCTTTGTCCATCCACGATCTTAACACTTTCTGGTTTATGTCTCCATCTCGTCGCATATGTCCACGCTAACCTTTTGCTTTTCAATTTCTCCACCACTGGCACCACATTCTTTACTTTATCCACTCTTATCACATAGCTATTTACTTAAAAAACGACAAAAAAATAGTTATGTTTCAGAGTTTTATTCTACAATTTGTTTTCCAGATGCCAAAATAATTGGTTTCGATGTACTTATGGGGCGTGTGTAGATGGAACTGCTCCTTGCAATGGTATACAAGAATGTGCCGATAATTCTGATGAGTTACTACCTAGATGTAGGAACGAAACTGATGAAGTAACGTGAGTATAACAATCTTACTTCTTACTATATCATAGTAATCATACTAATATTATAAATGCGTTAGATGGATGGGATGGGATGGAAAACTTTACTTTTTTCAATAAGCCTATCCATTTGTAGGATCAGTAGCTTACGCCCGCGACTCCGTCCGCGTGGAATGAAAACAAAACAAAACTGAGTAGCCTATGTGTACTTCCATACTATGCTCTACATCTATGCCAAATTTCATCGCGATCCGTTCAGTCGTTTAGGCTACAAACTCTTACAAACATCCATCTAAACTTTCGCATTTATAATATTAGTATTTTCTTCAGCAATGGTTAACTAATTATTTTATTTTAGGGGTCAATTTAAATGTGACAATGGCCAGTTAATATCCGGTTTCAATCATTGTGATGGTGTCGCCGACTGTAGTGATGGCTCGGATGAGACAGTGAAGGCGTGCGCAGCGAAAGTCTGCCCGACTTATTTATTTCAGTGCGCGTACGGCGCTTGTGTGGATCAGGGCGCTGATTGTAATGGGGTATGTTTTACTTAATTTAAACTTAATGGTAACTTAACTTGAACTTAAACGTAACTTAACTGTAACTTAAACGTAACTTAAACGTAGCTTAACTGTAACTTAGACGTAACTTAACCGTAACTTAAACGTAACTTAACTGTAATTTAAGCTTAACTTAATTTTATTTTTAAATAACATTTTTTCAGTTGTCTTCATGATTAAACTTAAATTGTAATTAAAAGTTTTTTATTTAGTTTAGTTAATCGATAGATATTAAAATTGGTTATTTATTGTGACAAAACTACCATAGGATTTTTACTTAATTGTATGTATCGAGAAAATAAAAATTAACTATGTATAGTCGATCACACAATAAATAAATAGTGATATACCACTTTCCTGCCACACAAATAACTTGTTAGAAATTTATAGCTTATTAAAAATAAATAAAAAAACAAATACACTACTTACTATCTTATTAATAATTAATCTATTTGATATCCACAGATTAAAGAATGCGCTGACAATTCAGACGAGTCCGATGAACTTTGCAACAGAATATCAGGACCAGTAACAACTACACTCAAGTAAGTTATATTTCTAAGAAAGTATACTCAATAAATAAAAAAAATGTTAACATCAAAGTATTAATTCAGTCATTCCATGTCACATCCTAAACAAAGATAGCTAGCGAACGAAAGCTGAGGTAAAAAACAAAACCGACTTCCAAACAAAATACACTAAAAACAAAACAAAATGCACTAAAAACAAAACAAAATATTCTCAAAAAAACAGTA